ATAAACAGAAGAGAGGTCTTTCCCTGGGTTGTTTCTTGTCAGGGGCAGATAATGCTCAAATTCGTAGCGATAGAACATTTACGCATTCCCATGTTAAGGAGAATATCTCGTCCAGGTTGGTTCTTGTAAAAATGTCCAGTGGAGGAGTTAGAGCAGTTTTTTTAAAAAACAATAGATGGTCGCAAAACGCTGTGAAGAGCTTCTGTCCTTGGGTCTCATTTCAGTATCTTTTCATGAGAATTTTAAAGTGGATCAAGGGGATTTGCGAGCCTTACGCCAGGTCGTCTTTTCTAGTATGTTTACTAATACTAGTGGTAGTAGTAGTAGTAGTGAAAATGTGATTTTCTTCTGCTTATAGGTCTATTTAAATGCAAACAACTGGTCAAAATGACATGAATTTCAACCCTCGTAAAAGGACTCTTCGTAAAAACCCTTAGCTCGGACTTCAGCTTTATTGGTTAAAAAAACAGAGGAGGGAAAATAGAAAGCCATAGTGCGAGAACACCGCTCAACAAGGGCTAGAAGCGATTATTTTTGTTCAAGGAGTAAATCTTCCGATATATAACCTTACAGAAACTACGTGTGTGATTTTCAGTCTGAACATTTCTCGACAGCGTTTGCAATTCGTTCAGATTCTTGAATTATAAACAGCGTAGGACATAGTAAATGTTATCTTCTTAATAAGAATGAAAAATTGGCCTTATTTTAACGTGTTCGGCTGTTCGATATCCACTCCCTATTTCTTTTAATGCCCTTGTGCACGAAGATTTGGGGCGGTTATTTGTAGCTCCAGATTTTCTTTAAATCAGCGTCTTAGTGCTGTACAAAACAATTGCGCTTCTAGGTATGTACTCACTATACTATTCCATTTACGTTTTTGTTAGTAACTAAAGGAAAAGAAGTGTCCACCAACTGGAGGAAAAAACTGTTTCTACGGCATGTGGCGCAATTATTGACAAGCGCAATTAATTGCCGTCCCATTCAGTAATAATATAATGGACATTAGGACCCGAATTATGCAGTACCAAATTTGAAGGAAATTATAATTCCGTTCCGTACGCTGCGACTTTATTAACTTTCTTTCAGTCTCCCTTGTATCCTATTTTAAATCTTCAACAACTGGCTAGTATTTAGTGCAAATCAGGTCTGGTCATCATTAGCCTCACAGTTCGGTTCCGATCTCTCGGCACAGACGAAGAGGACGTACGCAGACTGGAATTAAAAGATTCAAGTGACTAACTCCCAGACTGCACTAGTCGCATAGATCGCCACGACCACACAACAGTCCCTGCAATCCTGACACCTCTCTCGGTAGGAGTATTTATCTTTACTGTCCTTCTTATCCCGAGTAATAAAAAACAACGAAATATGAGATGCGTAAGAGGATCTATTCTTGTCTGACTTGATATGTGTGTGTTCGTGATTTTTCTTGACAAGTACAAAAGTACGATTTCAGGGTGGACTTCTAACCGTCTGCCAGCTGATTTCACACTACGCAAAAAATGATCCTTCTTACCGCTGAGGTAGAGGAAAGTGCCTTCAATACTTTAAAATTAAAAAGGTCAGCATGCGGAATGGACTGTGTCACCAGGATATGAATTTCCCTGTTAATCAAGCTTTGAGGGTCCTAATGTGCACTTTAAGCTCACTAACACTCGGACTATTCCAGCCGAATCTCCAAAAAGCCGTTTGTCCACTTAATCTGCTGCCAAATGCCCCGAAAAACACCACCCACGTTTCTCAACACACTCCTGACAGACAATTAGTTCTAATCAAGCACAGGAGGTAGGAAAGGGGGGAGGCCTGGGAAAAAGCGCAAAAGAAGTGCACTTCCAATTCTCACCCTTGATCATGGATTACTCGAAAAGTGGAAGAATCAGAGGAGTGGAAATTGAGAGAAATGGAAGATTTTACTAAGGAGGCAAGCCAGATTTTACAAAGGTGGACGCGCCATCACTAGGACAGTACGATCTCTTGGACAGTACGTGTATTAGTCTGAGCTTTCGGTTTCGTACAGGAGGCCACCGTCGGAGAATGTGAGGATGCGGCGTCAAATGAGCAGTTTTTGTAGTCAAACGAAGAAGGGGGGAATAGGAGTGCAGGGGGTGGTGACGGCTGAGTCCACGCCGTCTCACGGCGGCGTGACTGCGTGCATCCTTGGCTGGAAAATGGGTCTCGCCTCTTGACCGAGAGAACGGAACGCGTGAGAGCAGGCAAATATATCAACGTGTCTGTTGATGGAGTGGGTGTCAGGTCCTCAGGAGATAATGGCTCTCACCATTACCCGCGTGCTCGAGAAGTTGAATTTGTGGCCTTCCTCCAGGGTGTGAGTGGCGACGTGAGACAGTGGGCTCTACCTCACCGGACTGCCCGCATGTGCTCTGTTATTGGCGAGCTAAGCCATCGTCCGGTCTGTCCTGTACAATGGCGAGGGCAGTCACGGCATGGGATCTGATAAGCGACTCCAGATTGTTCTCCTACGTCTTGTCGGTCCTTCATTTTCATGATTTTGATGCGCATGGTAGCTGTCGGACGGTGGACAATACCCACTGCGAGCTCCTCAGTGATTCTTTTCTTTTCTTCTAACGCCTTCTTTATATACAGTAGAGGGTGCCAGAGTAGTTGTGGCTCTCCTCCGTTTGTTCTTCGCGGGTGCTTGCGGAGGCGGCGGCTGATGAAGCTGTTTGGGTATCCGTTCCTTGCCAGCTGGTTTCGAAGATGACGCAGTTCTCGTACTCGTCCCTCCGGTTCACTGCAATGCGTTTTACCCTTTGGACGAGTGCTTTAACACAGCCGCGTATATGTGCCATCGGGTGGTTGCTATGGTAGTTAAGAACCCGAATCGTGCTAACCTTTCTATACACATTGGTGCTGAGTTCCCCATCGGGTCCGCATGTGACGGGGACATCAAGGAAAGGCAACCGTTCGGCATGCTGTTCTTCCCTTGTGAGCTGAATGTCGAGGAAGATGCCATTAAACAGACCTTGAATGTCTTCTAGTCCGCTCCTTTTAATTATAACAAACGTGTCGTCTACGCATCGGCACCAAACTGCAGGTTCATAATGGATGAAGGCGATTTTTTCCAGCTCATGTAAGACTACTTCCGCAATCAGGCTGGATATTAGAGAACCCATCGGCTTCCTTTGATCTGCTCGAATGTCTGCCATTGAAGATGAGGAGGGTTTGTTGGCAGAAGGCAAATAGTTGGTGTAAATGGTCGATTTTTAGAGGTCTCCTCGTCTCGTCGTAGTTATCTTCCAGCCATTTGCGTAGAACGTCGCGTGTTAGGTCCGGTGGGATGGATTTGAATAATGAAATCACCTCCAAGTATGTTATTTGTGAAACGTCACAAGTAGAACACCGAAGACGGACTACTAACGTCATGTAATAAGCCGTTCTTTCGATCTGAACCGATCGTAAGCAATCAAACTTTGGCGGTGTATCAGGCCATGAGGCAGTTCGGCGGAGAGAAAGAAAAGGGAGAAGCTACACTTCTCGTGAGCATTTTGGCAGAACGCTTCTAGTTCCGAAATTCGTCTTAGTTGATATGGGTAGTAATGGTTTCCATATTACTTTAGGATTCATTCCTTTCCTTACGATGATGTCACAATTGGTCTCTAATTTCCTTACATCCGTGTCTAGTCAATTAAGTATTGCCAAATGTGTGCAGCATTTGTTTCTAATTGATGTATTTTAACCCCCCCCTCTTCAAATTCGTTTCGGAGTTCAACCACCTGATTTTGTTGTCCCAAAATTTATCTTATCTTGTGGTTTTGTTGTAGTTTTCAGGCTGATGTATAGGCATGAAGAAGGCACAACCCAAATAGGCTTATAGGAAAGCCTTGACGCCGGAACCACAAAGTCACACACTGATCTACAAATATTTCACTATTGGAAACCAAGGGGTACATTTAGTACTGCATAGCTCAGACTCGGGTAACATCTGAAAGAGGTCTGTTAAAGTAAACACCAGTTCGGTTGCACCTGTTTGCCTGCTATCAATTATGATGCGATTTGGGAGATTCTGTAGGTTCTTCACTTGTTATGCGGGCGGTTTTTGACGTTCGGATTTGCTACTGCTCATTGCTGCGGCAGCCGGATCACACATTTGAAAGGCCTTGATGCAGAAGTTCCCCGAGTCCACCACGACGGCCATTTGTTCAGCCAGTGAAACTGCAATCCCAGTTGGCTCGTTTAGCAGGTCCAGAGGGGTGGTCAGCAACCGAAGAAACTGACCGTGATTGTCAAAAACCTGAACATCGGAATAAAGTTAGTTCGGATTGTCTAAAAGTGCCCCAATGCAAACTTGGGCCACCATCCACCTGAAAATTGGGACGGCAGCTAACACACCATGAATGGTGATTTCGGTTCCCTCTACCTTTCTAGATAATGCATCTCCATGTACTGATTGGTCAGACGGTCACTTTCCACTGCACTAGGGACTACACCGGATTTCGCAAAACAAATTATTTTTCTTGTTTACTGTTTACTTGGGTAGGCCCTATCTAACGGACGGTCAAATTGTTTATCTCTTTGGGGCCGTAATTAAAATTTAATTATTTCAATTGCCCCCAAACTTGGGTACCATTTTTTCACTGCGATGAATATATAGATTGCCTTGTTGTCGCATGCGGACCCAATTGTGGGCCAGACTGCTCAACACACTCGTGAACACAGGCCTTGTTCTTTGTTGCGCTCAGAAGACTTGTCTAATTAAAACAAACATGTAAGATATTGCTAACATGATTTACTTTGCTTATTTTCAGTTTCTAGGACGCAGTCAAACAGTCCATCCGAAAAACTCGATTATTTTATAACTTTAAGTCTACGGGCTAACTATGAGATGGGAAATCATGGGACTAAGTGCCGCTGAGTATTACATTTCAGGGGCATCTCTGCAGATATCAGAAGTCCTCAAACGGTTTACTTGTCAGCGGTTTTCATTAGCACAGTTGGAGGTTGAAGATGACTGGCTTAAGCAAACTTCTATCTGTCTTTGAAGATGGGGTACTTTCTGTCATGTCGCGTGGACACATCTTAACAGGAAGCATAGCGATTATGCGAATGCACAACTATTTATTTCATGGGTTCTGGTTTCGAAAATTTCGATGACTTACTTGAATTCGGCTATTACCCGAGTCACTAACGTAGAGCAAGTCATTGGAGTCGAAGCAGAGGTAGATAGGTAAGTGAAAACAACCCGGTTCCAGTCCATTGCTTCCAAATTTGTAGAGAAACTCTCCTCCATTCTCGAAGACTTTGATGCAGTGGGCTGGAGTGTCAGTGACGTAAATACGATCGGCGGAATCTATTGCAATTCCAACGGGCCCACTGAACTGGTTGTCACCTGTGCCGCGAGACCCAAACTGTCCCAAGTAGCGCCCTGTTGGTTTAAAGTAGCACACTGTACAGGCCTTTGTGTCAGCGACGTAAATTCTGCCCTTGCTGTCCACGGAGACGGCCTGGAAATTGAGAAATACTTATTCTCATCTGGCGCAGGCAAAGAAAAGGTGGGAAAATTTATTTCGGCCTTATGCAAATACGGACTGTGTTTTCCTGATGTTTTCAGAGAGGGAGTTGTATTGTGTACCTTTCCTAAAACTTGGCACTTTGCATGAATAAGTCACGTTTCACTTTGCTGAAACATACTGATACTAAAAACTGCAGGGATTTTCGGTAACCATGTCCTTTCCGTCACCGTGGATTTTCGAGTTTTTCGGTAGTTCAGTTGGCAGCGATTGGGTGAGGGACCCCAAACATACACGACCAGCCAAAGGTGCCTGTCTTACGGGAAAAGTGGTAATAGGGGGTTTTACCTGGTGGGACCTATGTATGTATAGAGGAATGGCAGAATAAGTGTAGATAATTGGTAAATACGTTTTTCGGGTAGGAAGGTTTTATTGCATTGACATATAACAACCGAAATTAAGAAGAACAATTAAAAAAATAAACGTTAAGTGTCTACAACGATCGCTTCTCAACTGTCTGAGATGAGGTCATTATAGATAGTGCACCACACCGTCTACAATAGACGACCCATATTTGGACGATGAAGCACCAAACCGGAGTAATCGTGTCGGACTGAAACTCATTTAAAAAGTATAGTAGGTATTCCTTGTATGACACAAATTGCTTGGGGTCCTTCTCCCGATCCTTGCCGTTCAGGTAATTCATGAATTCCTCCTACATTAGATAGGTTACCCGACAAGGTAAAACTTCATGTGATCAGGTTGCTTGGAAATTTTAAACCTCCAAGATCGGGATACTTTAAAGGCTGAGAATAAAAGGACAGTAATGTTTTTCCAAAATGATTTAAATCCACACTGCAGTCTACGCAAGAATACATTCTTATAGGAGTTCCGTAAATTTGGAGTTACCCTTTGTAGAGCGCCCGACAACTTAAAAACACATGATGCTATCGGAACAATTGAACATTCCAAACGTTCACATTAGAGTTATTTTAAAGACCCCGAATACAGTGGCAGACTATGTTAGAAAATATTTCTTATAGGAGTGGCTTAGCAAGCTATGCAACCAACAGGAGGGGTATACTTGTGTGCTGATGTTTCATGCAGGGAATTTGGCCATCTACAAATAGTGGGAACGCCTGGGCACAGCGTTTCCAAATATAGGGACAGGTTTACGGAAAAAAGGTAATGAGAAGTAAGTTGAATTTCTGGATTTTTGGACATATTCACCGAGTCGGGGCAAAAGTTACGGTTAACGTGGCCTGGGAGTTCACTTGCATTAACCCGCCGAACTCAAAACCTATCAACGGGGATCTGGACTATCTTAAGTCCTGTGGCAGCGTGGTTGCCCTAACGAGTCCGGTTGCTAAGCACTGCATGTTGAAAAGTAGTGCTGTGATTTGCAGTCTAATGTAGCCTTCTGCCTTAACGCTAACGTTGTCACGCCAGTATAATAAGTGAAATAATGAAAAAAAATGGGGGACTAACTGGAGACGGTGAAAAGCATGACAATACGTTCATGTAGTAAGTAGTGAGTACGAATAAAGATTGAGCGTTTACTGCAGTTTGCCTTTGTCAACGCCAGAAATTAATGAAACACTGACGACGCTACCCACTCCTTTGACATGAGATGACAGCGTTGTACTCAGAAAATCATTTTTCCATGTGATAAGATTATTTATAAATTACAGATAGACATACAACCGTATTTCTGCAATTGGAAAAATAATACTGATGGACTGCTATAAGGGTCACTCAAGTCCCACGGAGAACATCGGTGATTATGTGCGGAGCAAAACTGAAAATTCGGACGTCGACACAGAGCATCAGAGGACCAAAGTAGAGAAACTCTATTTCCCGACACATTAAAATACCCACGCCATTTAGCAGCTCATAAAAACACACAGGGTTTTGCTCATCCCTTCATTTTTACCGTCCAGTGGTATATGCCTGTTACTACACGCAGCTAATGTTTTGAAACGTTGCCTCAAATTATTGCCTACGAAAAGGATTTTTTGGCATGCAGCTCGTCGTCGCCAGGTACTCCCTAGACGCGACCACAGGTGGTATGGAATTTCCTTAGGCAGCATCAAAATCGTAAGCCCGCTACTCAGCTAGAAACGCCAGAAAAGTAGTCTATACGTTGGTTGGTTTTTCCAACAGTTACATCTCCCTCTTTCTGTTCGCGCCCACTGTGCGCTTAATCAACCTCCAAAAATCAATAAGCAGCTGCTGTCGCCACTGCATCTCGCCGCATTGCTAGCAAGCAAACCCTTAATCTCCTCACCCTGGCTGGAGTTGGTATTGGACGACGTCTGCACTTATGTACATCGAGATCAGCGCAGTCGTCTCATGCCTATGTCAGCTCGCGTCGGCGACTCTGATTCGCTACTCGAATGCCATTTTCGGGAAGCGAGACGCATGGCCATTCTGCGATCGTTGTCTTCGTACAAACCAAAATAGTATCTAATTTCTTCATGGTTGTAGCTAGCTGACTTTGTCGAGAATGCTATCCTAAGGCAGTTGGACGACTTCGTTTGCCTAGGGTTCCCTATTGATGCCTACATCGAAGTAGACACTCAAGTCAGAAGTTTTAAGTTTGGGACGTACGGACCGCAAAAAAGTTACGAAAAAGGTATACCCGTTAGCAATAGAACTTTAAGTGGCTTCCACGCCGAAATCGGTATGACCTTCGTTCTTTAGAGTCAAAAAAATGTCTTGTCTGCGAGCGGGGCTGAGTTCACCTCTAGCAAATGTATTTTTTTGTTAAAGTCAAAGATCACCAGTCGGGGTTTTATTAAAATGCGCGTTTAATATTCAGATAATAACGCTGCGAACTATATTGGCCGTTCTGAAATTCTATACCAATACCTCCTGTTATCTGTAACGTTGAGTTTATAGCTAATTTTTTGCCGCTAGTAATTAAAATCCAGGCAGAAATTTAGTGTAAAGACAGTCCCTTCAGTTTGCTGGTGTACTTTCTGATAAACCCCGTCCTAAACGCAAATCATTTTCCGGCCCAAGCAGTTGTCTTACAGACTAGAAGGGACAATGTAAATCCATATATACATGTGTGTACACATTTATAAATACACAAATGTATAATCTGTCGTTTTACCGTGACGCATGCACAATATTTTTTCACATTTTCATCAGAAAATACAAAATTAAACTTATATAACGCCAGTCGATCAATGGTGCACTTTTCTTAGGTAACACAAATTAACAACTTGTCAGCAAAGCAGCCAATAGCCAAACAATCAGTTCAAGGAAAAGTTGCATTAAATAATCATTTCTTTCCGAAATCAAACATCGAACTTCAACTAAGTTAGCTAAAGTTTCTATTTTCAGTTTAGTTTTGTTGGATCAAACAGAGATCTAAGCTACAAAATTCGAAACCGCAAATTATATAACGCCACTGGTGCCATGTGGTAGTAAGGGCTCATAATAACTGACTTACATGTTTTCCGCCTCGCCTGGGTTTGTAGTCGTGACATTTGCACAATAACATCTCAATCTAAACCAATACAGCCTCAGCGTTGTGTCGGCTTCTGTGTAAAGTTTTTCTACGTTCGAAAACGATGCTGGCTTCTACAAGTCTGTAGCCCGCCTTCATGTCCAGAGGGACAGTGGGGAGTCCCAGACTTAAAAAGACGATGCCATCCTTTAAAACTGCACATTTGAGAGATGGGGAACCTTCACCTACACTAGGGAGACCGCCTGACGAAGGGTCAGTTGCCAGCACTTCACCAGCAGTGATGGTCATGTGACCGTGGATTAGCACTGGATATGTCTTCTCATGCCAATGGCCGAGGGACCAGACCAAGGTTCTCACATGCAAGCAAGAAGGCCAGAAATCACCATCTTGAGCTTCCTGTTTTTGTCGGTAAACTCCGCTTACCAGCTGTTTACTGTTGTTGGCAAGCATAACGTTTTATTAGGGTGGGGGGGAGGCTGCCTATGATCCAGAAGTATAAGAAAATTTGTAATTATAATTAATGGTTGGAGAGGTGGGTGAGCAGATTGCCAACTGTTTGTGGAGTTTTGAAACGGCAGCAACTTGGTGCTCATGGACATTGTTTAATACCGCTAAGTAGAAGATTAAAAGAACCATTCAATATCAATTCAGGGAGTTATGTAACTATTAATAGTGCCTGATGAAATTCAAACACAATATGAGGCTTTATTGAAAAGTACACAAATGGGTTCATGTACCGTTCAGCCTAGAAAATTTGGCCAACGGGTTATGGGCATTGCTATCCTGGGAAAGACTTATAGAAAGAACATTCCTTTGTCTGGGCGTAATCGAACTGTGCTTAAGCGGACTGACAATCTTGAAATCTTCTTCTGACAACTCCAGAGGACAATCAAACTCCAGCTAGAAAAACAGACTGTAAGGCGCGGCTCCATGGGTTAGCGCTGCTGAACACTCGGACCAGGTGATGATGCGCCAAAAGTATGAACATTAGTCTATTTTCCACTTTGTGCTGCTTTGACTGATTGAGGGAAATTAGGACTAAAATTCCCAATGGATTCATTGTAGTGCATTTGGAATCAGGGTTACATAGAAAGTCCTCCATCAAGAGCAGATGTCACTCTTAATTGTTTGAAACAAAATTTGTTTTTTTCAAAACTTTTCAGAAAATCGTACCGAAATAATCTGCGTTATAATTATCTCATCTGAGTTAATTCTCGACGTGTAATGAATTTTCGGTTAGATCGCAGTTGGTAGCCAAGAATGGGGAGGCGGAGAGCCAGGTCCCCGATGTACGGGAATGATGGGAGAGAGGGTTATATGGGTGGGGTAAATGGAACGACCGGTAGAGGAATGCTGGAGATTCTGGGTAAAAGTAAAGTTACCAGGGAAGTTTTTAGAAGGTGGAATAATGGCAGGAATTTAAACCCGACGCTTAACCCTAAAATCTAACCCTGACCGCAATCCTAAAGCCTAAACCAAAGCCTCGAAACCGAGAGGTAACCAAAATCATAAAACCCAACGCTAACCCAAAACCTAGCCATAAACCTAAGCCTAAACTTGACCCTAACCCTAATCTTAAGCCTGACCCTAACCCCAAACCTAACCTTAACCCTAATCCTAACCTTAAGCCTAAGCCTAACCCTAACTTTAAACCTAACCCTAACCCTAACCTTAATCGTGACCCTAACGGAAACCCAAACCATAACCCTAACACTGAAAGTTGATCCTCAAACGCAAACCCTAATCCTAAAACGTAACCTTCGCCTAACACCAACCCTCATTAAACTCAACAGCCTGACCGAAACGGGCGATCTGCCTAACTCAGTAAGAGCACACCTACTGATAACAAGTTACCTAGACAAGGCAAGCACACCTACTGATAACAAGTACGTACGTCGACAGTATCAACGTATTATGTCTGGCTACCAAATGCGGTCCTATCGAATTTTCTTAATAAAACATGGTTGGGTAAGTTGAATCGTCTTCTGGGTCCAGGTAAATGTGGAAAAGGCGTACTGACTAAAATTCTGCCTGTTAACATGCATAAAATAGACAGTCGGCTAACATTACCGACTATACTGGTGCTTTATTGCTTGTCATTCTAGTTCTGAGCATGAATGCTCCTCGTATACCGATCAAACACATGGCTTTTTTAAATAAAAACGCATTTTTTTCAACAAAAAGGCGTCATACTTATTTTAGACTTCTTTCACAGTGCACTGCTCCCATTTCAAACATTTTTCTTTGAAACCTTGATCTTAAAATCCTCGCACTCATTTCAAGGTCTTTTTCATGGACCAAATACTTAGACACAGTTGCCTAGTTTTACAAAGCCAGCTGTAACAATCAGGCGTCTTGTCGATGAACCAGTCCTTGAAAAACGGTTCCCCGCTACTCCAGAGAGCCTAAAAAAGCTATTGAAGACTCAGACTTTGTATAAAACACTCCGAACGAACCATTCAAATTTGATTTTGGGAAATGAGCAGATGCATATGGTCAGTCTGTCGAAACTGAAGCACGCCCCTTTTCGAAATAATTAGTTGATTTTTAAGTGTAGTTCAAGGCTGGTCATAAAAAGACAATAAAGGTGTTTTATAAGGTCAGTTGCCTTCCCCATCGAATTCCAAAAGGGCTAAAGGATGGTCAACTGATGAAGCATTCAGCTGTCTCTGTGTCGTTGCAGAAAATATATCGTCAGATGGCAAGCTCTCTACTATCCGATAATAGTGATCTCCCCAGTTTTATTAAACACGGACGTTTGATAATAGCAAGATAATCATGAAGCATTGTTTTTTATAGGATTCGGATAGTAAGTGCGAGCATGGTTTATACACTGAGAAGATCCCAGGGAGTACTTCTATTCAGTACCTCAAACAAATATTTATACCAGTTCCCAGATCCGAAATCAAGATGAGGTTCATGTAAACTTGGTAGCTTACACTGCTCGACTTAAACCGAAACGAGAATAGTTGAGAACCGTGCAAGTGAAAATGAAGACCCCCTTTTTTTCTTAATCGGAAATAGTCTTTCAAAACAATTTTGATACGTCGCACTTAGAGCGACTATGTCTTTTACATACTTCTCACGCAGGCTTAAACATGATAGGATTTAAAAGAATTCCTCCAAACAGTAAAAACAGGGTTATTTTAAATAAAAGGACTTCAGAATGTAAAGAATTAGAAATTTTTAGAGATATCTACTGAACACGTTAGATCGGAGCTAAGCATACTAACTGGTATGGCAGTAAGACGGTATTGGCAGAGTATCGAGGACAAAGCTGCATTTTCTCCTCTGTACAATTTCAGTAACTCTCTTTTACGCTATTCACAGGGCTCTGTATCAGTTTTCTTAAAAATATATAGTTTGCTCCAGGTTTGACGGATAAACACGCTCAGCTCCAGCCTAGCTTTACAGGAGAAGAAAGTTTCGTTTAGAGCAATGAGGGCCATTGCTCATTCCGTGCCTTTTTATAGACCAGCAAAGCGGAAGTCGGCTTTTTAGAACATGGGAAATATGCCCAGGGCTGTGAAAGCCATAGGCTTCCGCGGCAGTGATAAAATCCATTGCAAAATTTATGCATGCACTTTATGTCCCCGACAGTATAATCTAAAAAGCCAATCTGTCTGTGTAGAACCGTTCCTGAGTTTTCATCAAACAAATATGTGGGTGATAGTTGCGTTAAAAATCGGTGGGTTGGACAAAAACGCTCCTGTTTCTATATGGCTTGTACTGTACAGGAGGAATTAAGTTCTAAAAAGCTAAATTTGTAATTATGCGACAAGTAGCCATGAAAGCGCTGAAGGAATTGGCTATTATGTTTTTTGTGGAACAGATTAAGTTCATGATCATTGATATGCAAAGGTTTGCCATAAAAGCCTGTTTTTTTTCAAACAGTGTTTTCTGCCACAGCTTAAAACCCTCCCCGGTTTTTGCAAGTTTCGTCAACTTTTTGTTATCTGATAGTTTGAATATTGTACATTTTTCCTACTTATCAAATTAAAGAATTCTCCTATCAGATGAACGATGTCTTGGCCTGTACCTTTTTACATCCAAAATGTATCTTTCATGTGGTCTATCCCTATAAGAGCATTTCTCTCGCACATGTATCTACTAATTATGTCTGCCATATTCAGGCACCTAACAATGAACGGCGTCTGACTGAAGAAATATATCATACATTCACAGCATTTTACTTTTCGACTCTTTTGCATTCAAGATATAATTGCACTGCCCGCAGTTTTCGTCTGTTTATTTTACCGGAGGACTGAGAAAGTACAGTTATACAACTTGAAATTTTTTCGTTGAGCAATTTCGGAAACGCCAAAAGTTTTCGAGGCTTGTCTTAGAATTTTACTCTGTTTTCTGTACTCTATTGTCTTAACTGTTGCTTTACTCTTAAGAAGCCTGGTCTTGCTGAAAACTAGAAATCACAAAATGCGTAAAGTTGCGCTACTGAATTCCATCACGAGGTCAAATCTTGAGCGGAAGTGTCTTGCAAAAATAAACAACGACTTTTCACCTGTTTGGTACTTATGATAGGGAATGACTGATTAAAATATTGCAGAAGGAATGTTAGATTCCGAAAAGCTATGAGATTTTACTAGTCCATTTGTGCGATTCCTGGTCAGAAATTTAGATAAAACGTTACATTCCACCCTTTTTTATGATCTACTTTCACTCTGAGCCGTTCAGTTGGAACTCGTTAGTACAGCTTTCGAATTTCCCAACTATGAGACTTTTGTTCACACAGTATATTGCGGTTTTGATTTTGTGGGCTTTTAGTGTTGTAAGACAGAATGCGGGAATCGCTGTGAAGACAGGGACACTCGTTTTTGTAACCTTAACTGGGGTATGGATTTCATCTATTCGTCCTCCAAAGGATCTACATGATCTCTTTTCCACCAGAAGTGTCTTAAGGCCAGATAAGCGGACTTTCAAACAAAACGCGTTCAGAACTCGAGGACAGTAATCTTCATGCGTTGCATTGAAACATGTTATACTACTGTGCGGGCGCAGACGCGTTTCTGTGTTGTAAACCTACTAAACTCAGCCTGCAGTCGATTCCTGTTTGACATTCTTGTAGTAAGGAGTTTCTGTGTTAACTCTCAAAAGTTCACCATCGCAAGAACAGTCAATAAGTTCCAGACAGTTTAATCTGTAATAAAAATACTTCAGTGCCCATCGTGGAACTCTCCCTACTTTTATCATTATTTAAATCCAAAGGAGATAAGGGTTAAGTATGTGGACGGAGTGTGGAAAAACTTTGAAGAATTTCCCATAATATTTTA